TTTTTTTTTTAAAAAAAATCTGGCAACGGTAGTTTTCATAAATGAAACCCACATATTCTTTGCCATTACAATTTAGAAAGTGTGTGTGTGTGTGTGTGGATTGAACTAAGAAAAAGAAAATGTATGTATGGTATTTTTGAATAAGTTTGTATCTAAATATTGAGTTGAAAATCTGTGTGTCTCTTTTAAGCCTCCGGCTACCCACATATTTTAAGGACTCCAGGAGTGGCTTTTCCTGGGGATGTTGACAGTGCCATTAATAACATCTACGAGAAGAAGAATCTTCATCTTGCTTAATAGAGATTTTGAAACCAAGGCATGAATTTTGACCCTTTGCATCATTGTGATGGATGCTTCCTAAAAGACATTTTTATAATATAAAAAAGAGGAAGCAGACAGCATACATGTCAACTTTTGTCTTTTGTTTTTCATGTGAATCAGCCTAATCAACTAGTTATAATTGAGATAGTGTGTTGTTGTTTGGGAGGAGGGGTGTTATTAAGCAAGCACAGCCTTCCATCTTTGCTTTTTATGCCATTCTGGAGCAAATGCTTCCCCTTTTATTTGGATTTTTTTTTTCATTTGAATGTAATTGTAGAGATAATAATAGCTTACATTATCACAAGAAGGAAGAGCTTCATGCTGTGAATACTGGTAGCAATGAATAGATGTAATCATAGGTTTCGGACACAACCATTTCTTTAGAGAAGTTTCATTGATCTCCACTGAAGCTTGGTAGACTGCTGTTTGATGACTTCAAGAATTAAAAGTTTGTTGGCTGTAGCCTATGTTATTATTAGATTCACTTTATTCTGGAGACTTTGGTAATAATCCTATATTTTGTACGGCTCTTAACTGTAACAACTAATAAAATAATTTTAATTGCTTTTCAGCAACAGGAGCAAGATCCAACTAATTTATATATTTCCAATTTGCCACTTTCAATGGATGAACAAGAGCTTGAGAACATGCTAAAACCTTTTGGACAAGTTATCTCAACAAGAATACTTCGTGATTCCAATGGCACAAGTCGTGGAGTTGGCTTTGCAAGGTAGGTTGTCATTCATGTAGTTTTTTGAAATTGTGTTTCTTCTGGAGCCTTCACAGCTCTCTGAACTTGGCTCTTTGCTCACAGATGTCTCATACCCAACTAGATAAACTAGTGGTAGGTACCTAATAGGTAAACTACTAGGTAAACTACCCAACTAGTGGCACTGTTGATGTTTCCTAGTTAGGTAATGAGACATCTGTGATCAAACAAACAACCTGACATACATACATTCTCTTCTATTGGATTGAACACTCCAGTTACATCACATTTCTTCAGTAAAGGGGCAAAGAGATTCTGAGATGGGAAAACCTGTCTGGCTTTGCTACAAAAATTAATTTGATTCAAATATGATCATTTGAACAAACAGTACTGGCTCAACTAATTGGTCAAAAATATTCAACCATCTGAAAAGTAAGAGATGAGAGATTTATATTAAGTAATATCTGTTGATCCCAATCATGTAATATTTGTATCTAAATGAAATAAGTCTTGGCTCCTAGGAAGCAAAGTTTCCCCTCATTTTTATTTGCTATTGTGAGGTTCAATTTAACTTTCATTGCTCTTGCAATTGAGAGGCAGGCAATCACTTACAGTACATAAGAGCAGTTTAGATTGCTGTCAGACAAGTAAGTAGTTAATTGACAGGCAGTTCCACTTGCATGCTTTTGTTCGTGAATATTATAGTCGGTTAAATGGCTTTTTATGTAGAAAAAAACTCAGCAGTATTACAAATATTTGACTTTGAACAAGCAGAACAGAAGTGTATTGATGATTTTGGTGTTGGAGAAGAGTCTTAAGAATACCACGGATAACCAAAAGAACAAGTAAATGGATCACAGAACAAATCAATCATTCTCATCTTGCCTTTTCTCAGCTATTCCTGGAAGGTTTCATTCAACAACTTTTGAAGAAACATAAATATCTCACACTTGCCATAGTACATAAGACTGCTTTTAAAATGTCTCATAGAACAAATCAATACAGAGTTCTCACGCAAAGTACAAATGAACAGACTCAGCTGGTCTTTTTTATAGATTTTTTTAATCTTGTGATTGTTGTTTTGGACACATGTGAAGATCTGGCTCCCTTAAAAGTCCATAATGCAGGGGATGGGTACATGGTTAGGACTTCTGAAAGGCCCAATTGGGAATATATCTAAATATAATCATTTGAAGTTGGTCATTTCTGCCTCAAGAAAGAATTCCAAATCGATTTGTCTTAATAGCAATAGTATTTAAACTTATATACCGCTTCACAGTGCTTTATAGTCCTCTTTAAGCGGCTTACAGAGTCAGCCTATCACCCTCAACAATCTGGGTCTTCAGTCTTCCGACCTCAGAAGGATGGAAAGCTGAGTCAACCATGAGCCTGGTGAGATTTGAACTACCAAATTACAGGCAGGCAGCAGCCAGCTAAAGTAGCATGCAGTACTGTACTCTAACCACTGCGCCACCACGGCTCTTAATGATCCATTTATTTGTTTTATAGAATCATAGAAAACTGATTGCAAGAAAAGACCCAGTGGTCCATCAAGTCTGCCCTTTGAGTGTTTATTGTTTGTTTTTTGTTTTGTATTAATTAATTTTTATTATTAAAATTATTTTTATTTATGTTTGTTCGATATAGACATGAGTTTATCCTAAGCATGTTTAAACTCAGTTTCTGATGATTGACCCACTAACTGCTGGAAATTGGTTCCAAGCTTCCACTAGTCTTTCTATGAAGTAATAACTTTCTATCATTAAAATTTGAGTTTATGCTCCCATATCCTTGATTTTTGCTTAATATTGAAAATACTGCCTTCCAGAAAAGTTGGATGCCCAGTTTAGCAAACGGGGGGGGGGGGGGGGTACCGATATGCCACCTGATGATGTGAATTTGACACCCCGGCTCTAGTAATTTCTGGACTATTCATGATATTCTCAGGAATCTGCTCCAATGCCAACATACAAAAGTGTGATCAAAAATTATTCTTTTGCAAGTGTAAGATTGGGACAGCCTGCTTCATGAACCGTGGTGACACAGTATTAGAATACAGCATTGCAGGCTAACACTGCCCACAGCCAGGAGTTTGGTTCTGAGAGGACTTGAGGTTGACTCAGCCTTCATCCTTCTAAAATTGAAAAAATGAGGACCCAGATTGTTGGGGCCAATGTGCTTAATTCTGTAAAACTGCTTAGAGAGGGCTGTAAAGCACTATGAAGCGGTGTAGAAGTGCTATTGCTATTCATAATGCATATAAATTATCAACACTTTGCAGACTTGTAATAGGAGGAGTCCACTGGCACAATAGGGGAAATTAAACCTTCAGTGTTCTTCATTAAAGAAAACCCCTCCTAGAATTGGACAAGAAGGAAAGTAAAGTTGAGGCATCTAGTTACATGCAGTTGTAAAAATCTAGGTGGCTGCCCGAAACTGAATCCTTCTAACGCTATATTAACTACTCCAAGTGTCAGGAAAGTAGATTAGGCACTGTGAAAATGAGCCTTGGGCTTCTGCATTCCCTCATTCACTTCCAGTATGTCAGAAAATTAAGGTAGCTCAAGGGAGGAAATATCAGTATTTACAGGAAAAAGAAAGCACAGAAATGTTATGCCTGGCCAGTCGTGCTAATCTTTGATTTTACCTTCTGCCTGAATCAAATCAACAATTTCATCAGATCATTGTAACCATACAGTAAAAGAATTGAAACTATTGTTTGTTTGTTTGTTTGTTTGTTTGTTTGTTTGTTTGTTTGTTTGTTTATAACATGTATTGGCCAATCATCTTACCACGGAGGAATTCTGGGCAGAAATATCCATTAATATAGTAATACCCTTTCTATATTTTTAATAGGATGGAATCAACAGAGAAATGTGAAGCAGTGATTGCTCATTTCAATGGGAAATTTATTAAAACCCCACCAGGAGTATCTGGTAAGTGGTGTGGGTATGTGTATTTGTTTATATATGCACATGTTTGTTCATTCCTTGGAAAATGCACAGTTAATGAGTCTTAGAACTAGAGTATGAAAAGTGGAAGCAGAACAGAAATGTGTGTGTTGTATCATTGTTGTTGTTTTTAAAGCAAAACACTCCCGTTCCTTTTGTGGTGCTAATCAGACTCTGGGAGAAAGATCGAAGGAAGGGAGAAGGGGAGGGAGGATGGAGAGTGCCTTCCGTTCCCACCCTCCTCTCATAGTCCCTCCCTTATTATCTTAATTAACATGAGAAGATTGCTAGCCCCAGGCCAATTCAAGCCAATCCCTTTTGAACATGCAAACAGTCCATTCTTCTCTCAGCAGACAGTCATGTGGACAGACGCGACTTGTGAATTAGGCTATTGTCAGTGTCGCTGGCCATTCTTCTGTAGCACTTTTCTTGTACACTGAGTACCCTTTTGTGGGAATTTTCACATGATTGCAGAAACTCTGAAAAGGTTGCTGTATGTGAACAGGGAGATTACGGATACTGTTGCCTCTGGCGTTCAAACTATTCAGTAGTGCAAGCATTATTTATTCCACTTACTGTAACCAAAAGGAGACCAGACGGAAGACTAATATCTAATATTTTAGCACTAAGGCATACATTACAGTACTTCAAATCCCTGCAGCTGTAGTAAATAATTCTGGAATGTGTGTGCAGGAAGAGGAAGGATCAAATGAGTCTTCAGTTTTTAATTAGCTCACTTCGCATAGATTTCTTTGCCTGCTAGCACTGAATGTGACTCTTCATTTGAAACTTTGGTACACATGTATATCATTATTTGAAGCTGATTGTGCGTTTTTTCTTTCATTGGCTTTCATTGTTGTTGCTGCTGCTGATCATGCCACAATATCTTGTATGTTACTATTGTAAAAGCGGGGGGGGGGGAATAATAAGAGTTGCTGTAAATAAAAATTAATGTATTCATTGACTGCTGTTAAAATCCCAACCCATTTTGTGATGGACAGCTCTCAACTTATGATAACTCATAATACTGCCAGAAGTGAACACCCTTTTATTGTCAACATCTGCCAGAATAGAGTAACATATTTCTCTATAGGATTAAAAAAATAAAAAATAATGAACCAGAAGTGGGGTTCAAGATAAGAGGAGTACTTACTACATCCACCAACCAATTGATCAGTCAACAAAGGAAGCCTTTTTTTAACTCAATCAGGAAGAAAGCCTTTCTTCTACTTTCCAGTGATATTACAATGATATGACATTGGGAAGAGCAGGGCTGAGCAGCAGAATTTTGATTAAGAAAAATTGGAAGTAAATGTGATTTACCTCATAATTGTTATATGCCCAAACCATACCGTTCAGTATTGTAGACCTTCTTAACAAATATATGTTCTTTTTCCATGTTGTTACTAGTGGCTGTTGCTTTGCTCATTGATATTCTCTGAAAAGTCAGCCGCTTTTGAGGGGCCCCATGCTGACCAGAAGGCCATAGCTTTGTGGGAAAAGTAAATAAAATTAAGACAAACTCTTCTAATTGCTAAGGAATTCGTAATACTCTCTTTGGCTGCCTGGAGAGCTATGATTTGATTAAAGTTATGGGGAATTAACAGTTGGGTTTCTGAAATTCATTACAAGCTCCCAATGATTAACTCTGACTCTTCCAGAATATTGAGGTTGATACTGTATATGTGATAACACCTACTGCTGCATCTTGAAATAAAAAGAAACTTAAATAGCTTGTGGTAATTGTCTCTGATAGGATAAGCTAGATTTCATCTTTAATGTTGGAAACAGTATTTGCTAATGCATGAAAAGTAAATAGACTTGAGTTTAATGCAAGGAAGCATTTATAATACGACAATCACCTAATAAGATTTTAATGTTTGCTTTTCCTTAAAAGTAATGGATTAAGTATCTGCCATTTTTTTATCTTTATTGTTTATGGTTTTTTTATTATATTGTTATGAGCCGTCCAGAGTCATTAAGAGTTGGGCAGAATATATGTTTAATAAATCATCATTGATCACACAATCAGCCAGATGCTTAAGACTGGATTTGACATTTTTGTCTAGACCTTTCCAAGCACCTGGGATAGGCAGATGTTGTTGTTTAACAATATTAATGGTATCATCGTAGGATGTAAGTTGTTCTAAGTAAATCAGCCAGATGTTCAGATGGGATTTGACATTTTTGTCCACCTATTGAATACTTCCCATGGACCTGGAATAGGCAGATGTAGATGTTTGATAGTGTTAGAGGTATCTTCGCAAGATGTAAACTGTTCCAAGTAAAGCTGGTTTTTGCAATTGACTGATGTTGAATTTGTCAATGCTGATGGTGTTCAAGTGGTACTCCAGTTGTTTTGGGATTGCACCCAAGATACCTATGACTATGACTTTACTTTCATTTGCTACGGTCAATCTATTTCTATTTGCGGGCCTTTGCATTTTGTTATCTTCTCCAGTTCTTTCTCTTCTATTCTGCTGTCTCCAGATATTGCCACATCTGTTATCTGGACTTTTTTTTAAAACCTTTTTTAATCAACAATTGTTAAGTCTGGGGTGTTATGTGGCAGGTGGCTGTCTGTTTGGAGTCTAAAGTCCCAGAGTACCTTAGCTTCTTCATTTTCTATTACTTTATCTCTTTTATGGTCTTACCAGTTCTTGCTTTCAGGCAAATGATATTTCTTGCAGATCTTCCAATGCACCAATGTTGTTACTTTGTCGTGCCATTGTTTGTAGTCAGTCCGTACAATATTCGTGCAGCAACCAGGTGGTCCACTGTTTCTCAGGTTCTTTGCAGAGGCAGCACTTGCTATCTGTTGCTGTCTTCTCAATTCTGGCTTTTTATGCATTTGTCTTGTGAAGCCAGAATTATCCCTTCTGTCTCTTTTTTTCAACTTTCCTGCTCTTAGACATTGCAAGTTGTTGTTATTATCTGCTTTCCCTGCTATTCTTGAAATGTACTGGCCATGTAATGTTCTGTCTTCCCATGTCTATTTTCTGTTCTTCATTTGGTCTTTCTTATAGGCAAGTTTGGTCTCTACAGTACTCAGCAGGCCTTCCTGGTATACTAGCTTCAATGCATCTTCATTATCCTTAACATATTTTTCTCATGCCCTTTTTTTTTCTTCAATTGTCTGATATACTTGCAAGATTCCACGCACACCTGTTTTCCTTGGTAAATATAGAGTCTGGCAACATTGTCGTGTGGATGAAGGGCATGATTCATTGTCATTATTTTTCTAGTCCTTTAATTCCGCTTGAGTCTAGTCTGCCATTCCAGCTGTGTATCTAATGACTGGAATTGGCCAAGTGTTTATTGTCTTGATGGTATTTCCTCCACTGAGTTTGGACTTTAATTTCTTCTTCACTCTCCTGATATTTCTAATATTTTTCTTGGTTTTGTTGTGCTTGATGTCAGTCTGAAGGATGCCCAAATATTTATAATGATCATCTTCATCTAGACTTGTCATTTTATTTACATAGGGCATCTTGATTCCTTCAGCTTTCCCCATTTGATGATAAACAGGGCATATTTGTCCAGTCCAAAGTCTATTGCAATATCTTAACTACATAAGTGGACATGTTGAGCAACGATTATATTTCAGATGGTGTTTTTCCATGCAGCTTCAAGTCGTCCATGTAGAGAGTGTGGGATATTATTATTAAGGTATTATTAATAGTAATAATTCAGTTAATTATCAAAGGTATTAGTTAATACCCAGCTGACTGGCATATGATGCAATCAACTCTCTAGAACCAGACAAAAGACTTTTGTCCTTTTTTTCCTGTGCTTCCTTTAATAGCATCGGATTCCTTGCTTGTGTTTATATGTCCGCATAGTTTCTGACTAATGGTCTGAATTTGAACTGTTTGAAGTTGATATCTCTGTTCTGAGCTTGGAACAGCTGTTTTGTGTTCAAAACAGTTGTTTTGGTCTTTAAATGGATTGTTTTGGGGCATTTTGGAATGACTGAAATTGATTCTTTCAAATAGTTATTTTGAACTCAAAACACAGCTGTTTGAATTCAAAATGGTTTGCATTCAGAACGTCTTATACATTGTCACTTATGACCTGTCTTGTATACTCTTCTGATGTCTGGCTTGCTTCTTTTTAAATTCAGATTTGCTCCTTGGCATAGTGAAAAGGGCAAGGTTTGCTTCATTCCAGCTTCAGAAGAGGCAGTAGTTACTGTCTGTTAGCAGCACAGCTTATTTCTGTGTAGGACATGGATAAAAAAAAATCTGTCAAAAAACAAATTCCTGCTAATGGGGGACTGTTGGCTAAATCAGCAACCTTGGTTTGGATGAGAAAAGTCTGCAAAAACAGAGAAGTCAGGACATGTTACTGAACAGATTTGGATGGAAAACCATCTAAAAAAGACATGCTGTCATATCCTTCTAAGCTGAAAAAAACATCTGGAATCAAATGCAGAATGGCCAAATAGGTTGACAGGAGAAAAAGCTGGGACTCTCGGATAGCAAGATGTTCAGGAAATGCTGAATAAACATCTCTCTCTCTCTCTCTCTCTCTCTCTCTCTCTCTCTCTCTCTCTCTCTCTCTCTCTCTCTCCCCCTCCCCCTCTCCCCCCCTCTCTCTGTCTCTCCTTTCCTCCCTCCCTCCCTCTCTCTTATTCTATTAAACTTTGTAAGAAGCATTTATTTAGAAATGTTTTTATACTACAGTGTGCAAATGAAGTACTTGGAAGCTTTGGGCATCTGTCCCATTCTCAAAAAATCTACAAATAGCCTAGGCAAGTGACAATCATAGTGGCAGTATATCTATTAACCCTGTGCTTTTAACTTAGCACCATATAGACATAGGATAAAAATAGCAATTCATACTATAACATATTATAAACATTTCTAAAATCCCTTATAGAATAAAGGACCTCTAAAGTGCAAGATCCCTGACAGTCTACAATATTAGGGCTATTCAGAAAGAACTAAGGAAGCATTAAAACCTATTCAGTTCTTGCTGTTGTT